GTTTTATTCTAGGTCCCAAAGAGGCATACGATTACTAATTGTTTGTGTTGATAAAGGCCTTGCCAAAACGTCTTGTACTTCATTTAGTTTCTAGCGGGCACTATGGAAAAGGATCCGTCGTTCAGCAATGACAATAGTTCTGTCCTCCCTTAGCGTCGGAATGCGCTGATATCCACTACCAGCCTCCTATCGGCAACCTGCCTGAATCGGGCTAAAGCCCGGGAGATCACGCCCTGGGAAACGCCAACTTCTTCTGCGATATCCACTTGCCGGTCGTTGATTCATTCTCACAATAATATTGCGCTTTGCTTCAAGATGATGTCTTTCCATCGTTAAAGAGAATACAGCTGGATCAAAATGGAGAAAAGACGAGAAAAAGTATTAACATTTGTCTGTTTTGGGTTTGTATTTCTTATTTTGTTTTATCCAACTAACAAAAATATATCGGTTAATTGTATAAAATGCTGAAAAATGAATAGGGATATTTGTAATCTATTCCTATTCATTTTTGAGCATTTTATACAAAGAATAAGTCGTTTTCTGCTTCAAAACGCGACTTCGATTAATTGTGAAGTGATTTTTCATTTTTTCGCGAAATAAAAACATTTTTAAATAAAACATTAGGTTAGAACCGTTTTAGTCTATTAAACATACAAGATTTGTGTAGAAAAAACACGAAGCTGTGTGAGGAGCTAGTGGAGGAGCGCTAATAGTATGGTTGGTCCAAAATTAATGCAGGTGCTTGTCATTTAAACAAAGCTAAATCCTCAAATCTAATTTATGGATTATAATAAATACTTTAATTGTTTTTTTTATACAAAACATTTCTGTTTATATTGAATTTTCTAAGAGGGAAGATCTTGGAAATTAAATTTGGTCCAAAATGAATGCAGGTGCTTGTCATTTAAACAAAGCTAAATCCTCAAATCTAATTTATGGATTATAATAAAAACTTTAATTGTTTTTTTTATACAAAACATTTTTGTTTATATTGAATTTTATAAGAGGGAAGACCTTGGAAATTAAATATGTCCCAACTAAATTTTCGTCAAATTTATTTGTCCATATTTAAACTTGGGCGAAGTTCGACATAAACCGTGCTGAAGATCAATACAGTTTGGTGAGAGTATTAGCGATTGCACGATGCAGAGATGGTTTCAGAGATTTCGATCTCGAAGCCAGAGAAGGTCCGCGGTAGGTCTTCCGTGGTGGACGTTGACCAACACAAAACGTTTATTGAAGGCAATTCACGTAAAAGATAGACCACAATAGGGTCAAAGCGCGTCTTTGTTGGAAACGGTTCCGATTCAATGTTGCGCGCCTGTTTAGGGGCTGACCCGCAACAATATGACAAGTCTAAACTACAGAGGCAGTCCCCTAGAAAATGACTCAAGAGTTAGGCCTCTCAGTTGTTTCTTTGTATTTATTACATTTATTAAAAATAGAAATTAAAGAAATCCAGAAGTTTAGTAATCACAATGATACATGCCGCGATCTTTTGGACACATCAAGGCTAGAAGGGGAATGGGATTTGTCAACTTTTAAGGATAAGACCTAAAGATTTTAAAAGCTTTTGCAAATGGTTGCGTCGAAGGTGTTTAAAGAAAACACAAAATTTAGCGTATTTATTTTGAAGAAAAATGGGTAGGAAATCAGTTCTGGCGTTTGAATGGTGACTGGAGGCTGCCCCGGTAACATGCATCTATACTTGCAATGCTGCTGAACATTGTATCAATGAATCCCATTTCGAAGGGACTCAAAATCTTGTATCTCGTAGACCCGCAATACCCTCCAGATACCAGGGGTCCTGTTGCGGGGCTGAATCCATAATTCCTGATTCAAAGGGAATTCAGCCCCGCAACAATGACGTGCAACTTTGAGTCCAAGTATGGACAGCCTAAACACAACACGGGAAATTGCAGGATTATTGACCACTCATCCGTTGTTCACCGTCTGGAGCAAATTGATAGAGTAAAGATGCTCGACAAGTGGGTATGCACGAACTAACCGAAGCCCAAAGAAATCGACGCTTTGGAATTTGAACGTCCCTTACGTTGCGCTACAAAAATGATCCATTTCTCGATCGAATCATTACGTGCGACGAGGAATGGATTCTGTTCGATTACAGGAGGCGTACAAGGTTGGACAAGGATGAAGCGCCAAAATACTTCTTATCCAAATCTGCATACAAAAATGTTTATGGTGACTGTATGATCTACCGGTGGGGTTGTTCACTGTAATTTCCTGAACTATGGTGAAACTATCATAGCAGAGTAATATCGTCAAGAAATTGACAAAATGCACAGGAAACTCCAACGATTTTGCCCGCATTGGTACCGTAAGGGGCCGATTTTTCTTTACGATAACATCAGGCCACGTGTTTTAATGCCGACCCTGCAAAAACCTAAAGAATTTTGATGAAACCTTACGCACGCTTCCGACACCTCGCCTACAGACTTTTTCGGGCATTTTGAACACTTCTTAAGAGGTAAAATTTTTAGGGAAAAAGGTGAAGCCGAAAACCCTTTCCAAGATATTATTTGAGTCGAAATGAAGATTTTTATATCAACGGAATAAAAGAGTTTACTACATGTTGGCAGAAATTTCTACATTGTGATGGAAATATTGTGAATATTTTTTTTTAATTTTGTAAAAATTAAAAATAATTTTCACCGTCTTTTCAGAACCTGCATTATTTTTGCACCAGCCTGTCTAAAGAGGAATTAATAGATTCTCTGACACAAAGGTTGAATAAATCACTAGATGTTAAACTTGGCCTAGCTTGTTTCAAAACAAGAATAGGATTAAAGCTGAGAATATATTATTAAAAGAAGAAAATATTATTCTCAAAAGGAAATGGACCACTTAAAGATTGTCAGCGAAAGAGCCGAGAAATTGCTCGAGTATGTTAAACTTCTGCAGAAAAAAATTAATTTTCAAATGCATAAAATTTGAGGATAATGTAAACTTGGTTATGATAGTGGCTGATTTATGTTACGATATTGCGGATGTTCACCTAAATGCTGACTTTGTATCGTTTCCCTGTTGGAAAACGAGATATTAGTAATAGATCTTTAAAAGTAGCTTACATTCGTTTAAGGTAAGTAAGCAATCTTGAGAAATGTAAAACGTTTACAATATACTGGATTTGTTATACAACACATGATCTTCCATTAAACATAAGAAACAAACAAACGAAAGTACTAAGTTTTGATTGCAAACTGCAAAATAAACTAACAAGAGATAAGCCAGCTTTGCAGACATGAACTATCAACTTGAGATATAGTCTTCAATAACTATAAATTTTTAACAATTAATAATCTTTCAAAGAAAACTGTCTTCATGATAAATGTGAGCAGATAAATTCTAGGACTATCTAATAATGGAAGAAAAAATATATATAGAACAAATCGTCATATTTGATAACAAAACTAAATATTAAAACCAGTCGGAAGAAAATGAATAATGATCAAGGCTAGTGCGGCAAGAAAAAGTCTGGAATAATTGTAGACTAGTGTAAAGAATGTCACGATTCAAAAGAAATCCGAGAACTTAGATGAGACCAGGGTTTAGTATATAAAGGTAAAAGTCAAATCGGAGATTGAGCACACCATTTAATGAGCATTAGCACTATGAAAAAGACCACAGGCCACAGATGGGAAAGGCCTTCAAGAAATACATCAACTTTCATAAAGGGCACCGATAATAAATTCTCAACAGGCCTAATTTATTCTTGATTTATTGATAAAGATTGCGTAATAATTTAAAGTTAGTTAATTAAATATATATTACAATCAAGGATAAAAAAACGTACCCTTGTATTTTGTTGTTTATTTTTAACTATATATATATTTTTATTATTATATTAATTACAATGTGTGGGGATTAGTGACCGTTAATCGATAATTATTCAGAAATCGTGAGATGCGGTCTGGCGTGATCTAGGTTTCAAAAAACATTTTGTTTATCTTTATTGAGATCATCTTCAGGACCTGGGATTTACAAACATTGTTTACATTTAAGAAATACATTTTGGATGTTGAAAAGTGAATTTATACAATGCAAAATATTTTTTTTATATATTCAATCAAAGTATTTCTACTCACTCAAAGTGTTTGTCTTCTGTGTAATTGTGCCATTCTTGCGTGCCGTGTTGAGAATGCCAGTGAGATTTTGCTGTTTTATGTTTGCTTTTAAACTTTTTTCTTTCCATTAATTAATCTTTATGTAAGGTATTGGTTAAAAATGAAAAAAGTTAGTGTCGCGAGTGGGCTTCGAACCCACGACCTTCGGCTAAACACGCAAATGCTCTTCTACTTGAGCTATCGAGACTTCGATCCATTCCAACACCAACTTCCCATCTCAGCCCACCTATCGAATTTTCCCTCCTTTTTGTCATTTTTGCAATCGGGCCACGAAATATAACGGATTTAATAAGTAAAATGAAGTACAACTTCATTAAAGCATTTCATTTGTCGCCGAGAATCGAATAGATTACACGACATTTGAAAAATGGCCAAAAGGAGGGAAAATTCGAAAAGTGGGTTGAGATGGGAAGTTGGTGTACGAGTGGTTCGAAATCAAGATCGCTCAAGTGGCCCATGAAATGATGAAAAGCAATTACGATCAAAGTTAATTCATGAACGTTGCGTACCAAACTGAAAATAAATGATAATAAATGCACATTTAAAATTGAGTGTAAGAGATTCACATGGCTGAAGTTTAAAGGCCATTGCAAACAAATTGACACTATTTTCTTGAGCTCTTTTGTACCTACAGTTAAAGATCACTATAATAAAATAGCATTATTTTAAATAATTTGTATCAAATAACTTAATGTATTCATTGAAATAATGTGCATTTATGCAGCTTTAACTTAACGCCTTTATATCAACTTTCTCGACAGACTTGAAAATTTAATAAATCGAGTAACTAATCGGTATTTTATACTAACTCCTATATTTATTACGCTCTATAATGTATGATGATGTTTTTTGCAGTTGAAGGGAGAATCACCTGAGACAGTTTCCCAGCTTCTTGCCAAACTGGGGTCCGAGTTCGAAATCGAAGGATGGCCAGAAGTTCGCCTCGCTGGAAGTCAGGCTGAGGTCGATCCGGATGCCGACGTTTCACTCCTGGAGGCCGAAATTATGATAGTCGAAACCAGGGCCACGACTGAAAAAACAGGTTAGCGACTCTTCTGAAACTTTTCTTTGATAATCGAGAATTAAGGCGACTTTAGAGCCATATTTGTGTCAACTTCCTGCGTACCTAGTACTGAATGCCTAGTGAGATTATTGGGTGTAATAGTAATAATAAAAAATGTAATATAATTATATTNTATAAATTTTTTATAGTATATTATAAAAAATACTATAAAATAACGATATAAAATAGAAAAAATTCATCAAACCACAATATTACTAATATAAGCAATAAAAGGCATTGATTAAAAACGCCTTTCTGCCATTTTTATTTGTATTTAAATACAACAGACAAACAATAAAATATAATAAGAAAATTATATAACGTTTTTACATAAAGAGTGAAAAATTGTGCATCAACTCAAAATAAATATAATAGTGTATATATGTCTGTTTACGTGTTACCATCGAAATATTTTTAATAAATTTATGATTCGAATCATGTACGTAGTCCAAAATGAAATATACAAATTTGTTTTTTGCTAAGCATTCTGCTTTTCATTAAACCTTCTTCACGGTTCTTCGGAGGAGAAATATAAATAAATATTAAATAACATAAATAAATGTTACATTTCTCATCATTACAATAATTTCAAATTAAGATTAATTTTTTTAAAAACATCGGCACCCGAGGGTTGATATAACCTCTGCCGTTGGCTTTTACAGTGGCTTTTAACCTCATCGACTGTGCTTTTATATTAAATGACCCTCAATTTTTCTCAGAAAATAAAAGAAAAATTGTTCGTATGTTCAAGAATAATGGGTACCCTACAACGCAAGTCCACCAATACACCACCAAACTCTGCTATACTTTTTCCTTTCAAAGTTATGGCTAAAATTTTGAAAAAAAATCCCGATCATTTGGTTTGCTATTTATTAATCGAATTTCATGTTCGAACCTTGTGTAAAGATGCACAGATTTGCTCTTTTTAACCCCTCTTTACCGGTGCTCAGAGCGTTAGAGTCAGGGGAGATGGATTGACAAGCATTTTCTATCCTTTGCCGCAGTTCTTCAATTGAGGTTGCCCCACAGAAAATAGTCAAGTGGAGTTAAATCAGGTAACCGCGGAGGCCAACAGGTGCCAACTTGACGTCTTATCCACCTACCCCGGAAGTGACGATTCAAATAACTTACAAAAGAATATAACTTACTACTAACTTACAAAGAATTGAGTGCATCAATCTGGGGAATCATTCTTTGTCGTTGTTGCAGAGGAACATCATCTAATAATGTTGGTAAAACCTCACTCAAAATTTGAGGAACTGAGCACCATTTAAATTATATTCGTATAAATAAGGCACGATTAATTTATTTTCGAGAAGTCCACGCCAGACGTTGATACTCTGAACCACCTGATGATGGCAAGAGTACGACATTTTCGGACTTTCCTCTGCCCACGTTCGAAAAATCCAACGGTAAGCATACCATTAGAGGTGAACTTGTATTCATGAATCCTTATGGAAGAAGGAGGAATAACGGTTTCTTCATCTTCCCAAATCGACATTTGTGCGAGGAACGTTAGACGCCTGTCATAATCACAGTCCAAAGTCCCTGGACAAAATGTGAGCAATACGGCTTAAAATTGTAAGTCCGGAGTACACCTGTAATTTTATTTTTTCTAAAACCTAAAACACTTCCAACATTTCGGAGAGAGGAATTCGGATTTCGGGAATATACGATAAAATATTCAGCTCCTCTTCGAAATTACGCTGCCGGTTTCTTGGTGTAGGAATTGATCCGTATCTCATATTGCGAGGAATACGAATAAACGTTTTTTGGATTACATTAGGGCGATCCGAAAATTTCTTGGAGTACAACTCGACTGCGCGTAGTACCATCACCATCAATGAAGCAGTCGTAAAATGACAACTCCCTGTTGATCGGAAAAATGTGCACTTCGGCCTTCCTTTTGAATGGAATACTGGATGTAACGAATAGGTTATACATGTACAATAACAGAATGTAACCAATAAAAGCATTTATTTACTTTAGAAAAGAAGCGAATTATTCGAATTAACAACGAAACAAACGAAAAGAGTTTTTTCAAACTTTTTCATTTTTTGACCAATTTAAAATCCGATTGCACCGTTTTTTTCCGCGTAAAAAATCTTTTAAAATAATGTGTCAGGGTGTAATCGTCGTATTCGAAATTTTGAAGTTGAACTAGGCTTAAGGTACTCAGTATAATTTTTCTCCAAAAGAAGGTAAAAATTTGAAACTAGGCTAAAAAATAGTAAACACGAATTTTTATTTTTTTTATAACATCATTGGTTCAAGAGAAATTCAGCCGGGCTATCTAAAAAAGACACCCTGTATAGCAAAACCTCGTGATATGAATCATATGATTAGGCCACCATCGAAAGATATTCGTGCTTATATTCGTAAATTCTTAATTAATCGCCAACATGTGAAAGTTCAAAAGAACACCCTGTATTATGAAAAAAATAGTGTATCAATTAACAAGCGGCGGGTTTAAGCAACAGGGAAAACAAGCGGTCTAGCTTGCGAATTTTTTCATCTCGATCCCGCCTAAAGTTGGAGAAAGCGATGTGATTCGCTATCTGGTAGGATGGTGGAGAACTGAAAAGTTTCAGACTAGCCGACAAGAATGCGCGATGACAGTGTTTAGATTTGAGCTGATGAATCGACATATACAAACACGTACCCAAACCAACAAACAATATTTTATATATTTTTAATAATACTGTATTATTCTATGATTAGGTGCACTCTATCCGTCTCTCTATTACGTATTCCTCAATCCTCATCTATACCCTTACTAATTACTAGCTCATCCGTCGTTCACACAGATGCACAAAAAACTTAACCCCGTTTTTCTAATACTCTTATCCCTCTCCTGCTTTAGTTACTCTCTCTTTATCACGTTCACATCATGATTTTCTCCCTCTGTCACTCACTCACCCACTCATTCACTCACTCTTCTCACTCATTTACATATATATGTATTGCTTATCTACCTATTTAAATATCTCTTCCCTCCGTCCGTTACCCCTATTTCACTCTTCTCTATTTCTGTTTTACTCTCTCACAACCTCTCTCTCTCTCTCTCTCTCTCTCTCTCTCTCTTTTTTTTTTTTTAATTCTTACTTTCTCCCACTCACTTTCTTATTTCTTCTTGCTACTTTCTTTCTAACTTCAATTCCTCTAACTCCCTACACCATTGTTTAACTCGTCCTCTCGTTTAAGTTTCCTTTCCTAAGTCTGTCTTAATCCTACTACTATGGTCATGTATTCAATGTTTTTTCCCGGATAGTTATTACTGCTTTTATATTATTACATGATTAGCGTAAAAATATTTATATAGTCGAAGAAACGTTAATAGGACTCCTATGACTGGAGGGTGATATTGAATTATTTTACCTTTTACTTAGAATTAATTAAAACTGCCAGAACCTCAAAAGAAATTATTAGCAAACATCAAAATCGGCGTCCCCTGATTGGCTAATTGTTTGGAATGGATTATTTCATTCCATGCGTCTGCCTCCTGGAGCATAAAGCGATCTCATATAATTGACCCTAGTGCTCTGTTGTCCACGCATCCAGAAAGCTATACTAATGTTTGTTTCTTTTTTTAACGTTTGCAGGCGACTCTATCCGCGATCTGTGCGCCGATTGGGCTCTCGCAGAGATAAGACACGTCGCCAGGTTGCGATCCTGCGTCCCGCTGTATGGATCACCGTTGACACAGCTGGGCGTCCTTTCTCCGCAGGACTTTTCAAAGATTTGCCAGCCCATCACAGCCCTCGCCGAAACATGCAATTCAGCGGCGGCCAAGGTAAGGGACCACCATAATTCAAGGTTTCATTTCAAGTTTTCCATAAATCTTCACAAGTTTTGAAACTGTATTTCAATGCTTGAAGATAGAATTGTACAGTCATTCTGGCATATTTTATCGACGTCGTCAATATTTCACCGTTAAGATTTGTGTCAAGAGAAGTTAAGCAATAAGTAAGAATTTCCTGTGCAAAGATAACAGATATGTCAAGGATATATTTACATGATAATCATAAGACCCATTGTACCTCTTCGAATGTTCTGCGCATCCAGTTTTACCGTGTCGTGCTCTGTTAATGAGTCCTTTAGAAAGTTGTGAAAATACGGTTCTTTGGGATAAATACGCCTGTTGCAGAATTCGCAGATAAGGTGAGGTCCTATTGAAAGGAAGATTACACCTTTTCTGAAGTTCATGTCTTGTGCTTTATCATTACTGTTAAGAGACCTTCACGGTGAGTGGCTTCTGACAAAAAACAAACCAAGACACGTACTCAATGTGAAATCAAAATAAATATAAAAAACAAGCTACCTAGCCAACTCACAAAAGAATCGATGCTTATAAAGAAATAATAATGTTTGATTTTATCATAAAAATTAATTATTGCTAGTGAAAACAATGATTCCTTTTTCTGGAGATTTCATTGTTTCTTTAGCTCTAACCGATGATGAAACTTGGAAAAAACAATGTGCATTCAATAAAATATGGATGTAGTAGATAATTAAAAATAAGATGAAAAACCTTAATTTAATGTTGTTGATTAGACCTACTAAGGTTAGATATAATGAAGACCTAGAAATTCGTATAGTTTTGGAATCGTCCTAACATTAAAAATGATTAAGTTTGAGACTTAATTTATCTATGTTAAGTAAGATGTTGTACAATCGAGTACAATAACTAATAACCAATACCGAAAAAATTTACCAATATTTTTTTAAATTTTCTTATCCTATCCTCTTACAGACCCATCAACATTCTTTAAAGTTTAAAATCTTTGAAAGACTCCTGTGGAAGAGTTTAATATCCATCGTAGATACTCATAAAATCATTCCTTCCCTAGGATTTCGTCTTCATCATTCCACGATCCAACAAGGTTTGAGAGTTGCGGACTCTCTAGTGCTCTAGAGAATTAAAAGTTTGGTTGGGTGCCTTCATAGATGCAGCACGAGCTTTTGATGGGATTTGGAACCCGGTCGTGCTTTATAAACTTAAACGCTTCCTACCCACTTCTTATTATCTTATCCTGAAATCCTTTCTAACCGACCGCTGCATCAGAGTGATGTGCGGCAATGAGGTTTTAGAAGTCAAACAAAAACAAGCCAGCGCCCCACAAGGAAGCATTTTTGGTCTCATCCTTTTATCATTTATACTTCTGTTGACCATCATTATTACCTACGCGGACGATACCGCAATTTTGTTCTCTGAACCAAGTCATCCTCGAGCTTATCGGACTACTGCCAAAAATGGAAGACAAGACTGAATGAAGAAAATTGCACTTAGTGTACCTTCATATTGGGAGGAAAATAAATAGCCTTGCCCTCCATAGTACACCAACAAACAAAGAAATTCCGACTTCCATTCTAGTCAAATGCATAGGACTATAAATAGATAGCAGACTGACTGAAGTATAATTACCACATAAGTCTTAAGAGACAACTTAAAAGAAGACTTGGACAACTAGGAAGACTTCTAGGGCTGAAATCCATTCTCAATCTAAACTAACCTTAATGCGACCCCTTTGAATCTAGTGGGACTGTGGGATCCATCGCATCCAGTCCATCCCATCAAAATGCCATAGACAAATCGTCAAAGCTCCTTACTAACTAACAGTATCTATCTATCCTATCTAACTCTTTATTTAACTCACTAACCTCACTACCCACAACGACCTTAACATCCTTCTTGTCGATGAACTGATTCCAGAAGTTTCACACCAACTTCTCAATCGTTCCCAACCTTACTGTTCGAGCCATCTCAACAATTCCCATCCCGAGAACCCGCCACGTTGTCTTAATCATAGATGGCCTCGAGATCTCTTTGCTACTTAAAACCACGAACACTCTGGATCAAGGTGTGGTCTTAAAGAAGAAAGCAAATTCACTTTTACTGCCAAGCTTCGACCTATTTCAAGGTCATGATCAGGGCAAAACAATCTGATATATTTAAGTTACAGGCGATCTTAAATTTTCTTGAAGACCGACTCAGTTCCAACATTGCCAAGGACTACATTACCTTGATTCAGAATGGTCGTGAGTGAAAGCGTGGTCGATATTTCTAATACTGAAAACTAAATTTTACATACTATCGAAAACAATCAAGATTACAATCTCTATAAAAACAGAATTAACATAATGTTTTTTAAAATAATATTTAGTTCAATAAAAGAAGACACTTTTGAAAACTAATTACATTCAAATTGATTATGTATTTTCAAACAAAATTGATCAATTGAGTTGTGAGTTTCGTATTGTTTATCTCAAGACGTTCACCTTTCAAGATATGTACCTAATGTTAAGGCGAGATTAATCCCTTGTATGTTGAGGCTTCACTGATCAAAAGAATGAAGCGTAACGGAACTGCAAGTAATCACGACGATGATGATTAATTAATGCCGCTTTGTTTTCAGATGAAAGAGCTGTTGGACAATTGGAAGACGGGAACAGATATGATAGATACGATAGGTAAGTTGCACGTTACTACATTCTTTATCTCCCTCACTCTACGGGATACAAATTAATTGGAATTTCGGTCAATTGGGTTTTCATGCTGTACCGACCTCGGTCCATTAGACCTAAGTGATTCGTACGTGTCGCGAATGTCGTGCCGGGCGCGGCCTTGTGTTGCGAATGTGCAAACACGGGTCTTCAACTATGAACTTTGTAATGGCCAGGCACACACGGTGCAACTTTCCGTTTCGTGGGGTTGCGACAGAGGAGTCTTCTTCGGATGGGCCAACGCTCAGATGTACGCGGTTCAACGCACTTGCCATGTGAAGCTTCCGAATACCGCAGATTACCGGTGAAAGAAAAAGAAAATTAACCTCGGCTCCTGGAGATACTAAAGAAATTGGGGGCAAAACCGCAAAACCAATATTACGAAATCCTTCCTCCTTCAGATTAAACGTATTTTGTTTACTTTGCAGCTGTTGTCCAATATGACGAGAAAAAGAAAATTTTCATTAATATTGTTTAGAACTTATATTTTGATTTGACAAATTTTTACTCTCCTCTTATAAACACACACTGATGGCAAACACAAAATCTTTACCATTCTCTCTCTCCCTCTCTCTCTCTCGTTCTCTCACTCTCACTCTCTCTCATTATTTTTTCTTTATTGCTCCCCCTTACTGTTTTTCCTCACCCCTCAATTACTCTTTCCTTCTTTTTTCCATCTTTCTTCCCTCTCTCACTTTCACTCCTACTATCAGTCTCTATGATCTTCCCTTTGTCTCTCATTCATCCTCCTTCAATCTCTATCTCTCTCTCTCTCTCTCATTATTTTTTCTTTATTGCTCCCCCTTACTTTCCTTCCTCTCCCCTCAATTACTCTTTCCTTATTTTTTTCCAACGTTCTTCTCTCTCTCTCACTTTCACTCCTACTATCAATCTCTATGATCTTCCCTTTGTCTCTCACTAATCCTCCTTCAATCTCTCTCTCTCTCTCTCTCTCTCTCTCTCTCTCTCTCTTTCTCCCTCCCTATCTCTCTCTTTCTCTCTTTCTCTCACTCTCTCTCATTATTTTTTCTTTATTGCTCCCCCTTACTTTCCTTCCTCTCCCCTCAATTACTCTTTCCTTCTTTTTGTCCATCTTTCTTCTCTCTCTCACTTTCACTCCTACTATCAATCAGTATGATCTTCCCTTTGTCTCTCACTCATCCACCTTCAATCTCTATCTCTTTCTCTCTCGTTTGATATAAGAAGGGTCAAAGTGGACCAAATCTCTGGGATTATAAATAAAAATATCTTTTCGTCCTCTCATTTTTTTTATTTTTTATTTCCTCTATTCCATTTTCCTTCTCTTCTTTCTTAACATTCTCATGTACTCTCTCTGTCTTCATACCTTTCTTTCTCTCTCTTCCTTCCCTCCCTTTCACTCATTCTGTTAACAACATTATTTCTTCTTTCCCTTTATCTCTCTCACTCATTCATCCTCATTTTACCCCCTCTTTCTGTTTTTCTTTTTATCCTTTCTCTTATTCTTTTTCATCTTTTTTTCAAGTTTTATTTAATTTTGCCATGATTTATTTATCTTGTTATCGCTTTCCCATACTCATTTTCATTTATGCTATCACCCTCGCTTTATTCTGATTTCCTTCTCTCTTTTTAATCTCTCTTTGTTTCTCTCACTCTCTCTCTCCCCCTCCCTCTCACAAACACACATACTCTTTCTCCCTTACCTTCTCTTTAAGCCATTCCTTTTCATTTGTTTGCATTATTTTAGATTATATTTTTCTCTATCTTTATCTCAAAATATGAAATTATTACTTTCCACATGGACACATACTTTATGAAAATAAAATTATCCGTTGCCTAAAAGCAAAATTAAGCTGTCCAGAATTTGAAATTAAGTATTGATTTTTTTATTTAAAAAGCACACAGCTAATTAAATATTTGCAACCCCACAACAAGAGGTTTTGCGAATTAATATGTATAAATTTCAAATTTAAATATCAATTATACCTACTAAACTGATATGTCCACAATGTTCCATCATTATCTATATGGTAAAACGAATAGGTTTTTCAACTTAAACAGGAGACTAGGGTAAAGAACATCTGGCCCGCTGATGAAGAAGAACCAAATTTCTGGATTCACTTCCCTTGAGCAATTTTATCAGAATTTTAACATTCGGGCGCCCCGCCGTCTGCTTTCTCGCTTTCTCCCACCCTTTGGTCCCGGACTTAATTAACAACCACCGACGTCAAATCTCTTACGAGCCCAGGACTTATACGCTTCTCTGCCTCCCGGGCTGATTTACTGCTGGCCTTTCTCCAAACAGCGGGCAGGGGGCACAAATAAAATAAAAACGGACAAAGGCTGAAACGGAAAGTCCTGCGTTTTAATTTAACGGCCTGAAAACGGTCACCGGTAATTGAATCTCTGATCAACGGCCCAATATATTTCCATTATTTCCATGCCACAGCGAGAAAGAGAAAAAAAATCGTGTATTTATTTTTTAAAAAGAAGTACAAACTGACTAATGGATATAAAATTTTATTTTCCGCCCAACTGGTGTCATTCCCAATAAATCAGAAGGGATGGGGTAAACGTCCTGGAGCAACAAATTGTACCGGATTGATAAAGATGTCATGGGGACGCCACGAGGATAGATTAGCGGCGGTTTATCTCGACGTACGCAGCAGTTCTGACCGATTTGAAATCACTTCCTACAAAACCAAATAGTTTTCATACATTTTTACCGATTTAATGTCACTAATTTTGTTATTTTTACCCTTTGTTTTACCTTTTCTTTACCTAGTAATACCTAGTATTTGCCCAAATTTGTCACAGGACAAATAAAATTTTATTGGGCTCAGTTGCTTATTTTTCCTCATGCATGTCAATATTATTCTAATAGTACAATGTATTTTTGTTTACAGGAAACATCTTCGATGAGAAATTTTGGGGGCAGTACGAAATTTATCAAAGCACATACAGAAGTGCGAGACAGTAAGTATACGAACTATTTTTTGTTTATAGCTCAACATTTATCTTTTAATTGCGATATGAAATCGTATGAAATAAAATCTAAAATGTTAGGAATATTTCATTTGATTATTGCGTCCTGCCAGTCAATTAAAAGCACAGCCATCACTTTAAAGGAAGTTTTTAAATAAAACACGGCTATTTCTTTATCCATTGCGTTCTTTATCCATCTATTTCCCTTGCGTTTTTTATTCATCCATTTCCTTGATGGCATATGTGCTTTTTTCTCACTTCTTACTCTATTATTCCTTCTGATTATGAAATTGATCTATCGCACATGCAATACAGATTCATATTTCCATCTCTTTTCAACTCTCTTCCGTTCTCCCTATCTCTCCTACTATCATTTGATTCGTTCTTCTTCCTCTTTACGCTCCCTCTCTATTTCTCTCTCTCTCTCTCTCTCTCTCTCTCTCTCTCTCTCTCTCTCTCTCTCTCTCTCTCTCTCTCTATCAATCTGTCAGTACCTCTCTCTGTTGTCTGCGTCTTTATTTCATCTTTCTTTCAGTCGTTAACATGCACTTTCTTCCTTTCTCTTTCTCTCACTCTCCCTCCTCTCTCTCTCTCTCTCTCTCTCTATTTTGTCCCATTTGCCTTTATTGTCTATTTCTTTCTATCTTTGACTACTTTATTTTTTTCTCCTCATCCCTTCCTGTCAATATTGTTTCTTTCTTTCTGTGTTTAACTTGCTCTCTTTCTCTCTCTCTCTCTCTCTATCTCTATCTATCTATCTATCTATCTATCTATCTATCTATCTATCTATCTATCTACCTATCTCTTTCTGTTGTCTTGCATCTTTCTTTCAGTCGTTAACATGCACTTTCTTCTTTTCTCTCTCTCTCGTTCGTCCCATTTGGCTTTATTGTCTATTTCTTTCTATCTTTGACTACTTTATTTTTCCTCCTCATCACTTCCTGTCAATATTGTTTCTTTCTTTTTGTGCTTGACATGCTCTCTTTCTCTCTCTCTGTCTCTATCTCTCTCTCATCATTTTTGTCTTTAATATTTTTTCTTTCTATCATTGTCTACTTTCTATTTTTCTCTGCAATTCCTTCCAGTCATTGTCTTTTTTCTGTTTTTAACTTGCTCCCTTTTTCCCATTCTTCTTTGTGGTAATTATTTCTTTCTTCCTATCTTTGACTATTGTCTCTCTTTTTCTCTCAACCCTCCCCATCATTATTGTCTGTTTCTTTCTGTTTGTAACTTGCTCTTTCTTTCTTTCTCCATCCCTTTCTGGTTAAGTGTAAGAGAGGGCGTTCGTGACCTGAATTTCCCACATTTTTTAAATAACGCGATATTCTTTCATTCAGACTACCTCTCTTCCTCTGTTCTAGCTACCTTTTATTTATTTATCGGTTGTTTCTCGCACAATGTCATTTTCTTTCTTCTTGTCTTTCCTCTTTCTCTCGTTCTTTCTCGTCCTGTCATTTCCAACCTCTTTCTTTTTCATTATTCGTCAATTGTATGGTATATTATTTTTCTTTTCTTTCTCTATCTTACACACACTCTCTCACTCTCTCTCTTTTTTCTCTTTCTCTACCTCTTCTCTCATCCTTACGCTATTCCCTTTTACACTCACTCCCTCCATCTCTCTCTTTCATCTTATCCTGTCATTTTACACACACTTGCCCTTTCATTATTTGTTAACTGCACATCTGTTATCTCATATATTTCAAAAAGCACATTTTTCAAATATATTTGTTGTATCTGACCCATTTTCTTGACAAATTTCTTACCTCCTACCATTCATGTCATGTCCAAAGGGTATAGTAGCTAGGTATGTTAGATTATTTTATAACTATTTTAACACATCTTTCGGTGTTTTAACTTTTTAATTTTCATTACAGGACGATAAGAGAAAAATCCAAGGGTGATGACGATTTCGTCGAGCTGTGCAAGTTGCGGAAAGGCGCCGCAAAGTTTGGCTTAATGGACATCCTCGATTTACCGGTAAGCAAGCTGATATTTTTTTCTTAAATTGGAAGCGATTGTGTTTTTCACTACGGTAGATACAAGTACGCAAAAAACAAATGCGAAAATAGTTTAACCAACCACTTTTTATCACTGATTAGCACTGGCATATTTCTAAGCGCCGTTGCGTCACACTTCAACCCGTCATTTTCCGGCATCTATGTATGATGCTAACCGGTTAGAACAGCATAACGACATTCATCACGTTGGCCAATGCTTTAATTTTTCTCCGGCTAATTCCACTACAAGTCCTCACGATATTACAAACGAGTGCCAGAATTACAAAGCACGAGTCCTTATACGTTATGTGGATTTACTAGGTTTTGCCGCGTGAAAGTCTGGACCGCTCGATCTACTAATTTAAACATTAAATTTAAGATAGTTCTTTAGCATAAACATTGGAAAGTGGTCTGGTCTGGATATCATTTGACCCTACGGCAAATATATAAGGCGAACGTACTTTCGGTTCTAATTGCCTCTTTCATTTTACAACCCAAGAGCGAAGTTTATTGCCTATTCATAAAACTCACGGGTTTATTCCTTAATGTTGTATATAGCATAGTAATAATACTATTTAAATTTTTTTAAACATTTTTACAATAAGTAAATCACACAATTAGACAAAATTGTTTCCACATTTAATAAATAATGTGTTTTATTTCACGCAAACTTTTAAACAGACAAAAAAATATAAAACAAATACTGGCCTTTATGGCAAAATACTCAACTTGACCATATCCCAAGTCATTTTCTTGGTAAATGAAAGATGTAATGAAATTCCTAATGATTAATTCGTTAATGTTTAGATAATTATCACTACTTCACGAACGATCGCAACAGCAGAAGTCATATCGACCCTCGGGGTTGAAAAATGTCCATTTGAAGTATATCGGTTTGAATGCAGGGCCGCTGGATTCGAACCCGGGACCTTTACCTTACTTTTTGATAAGCGCTGTGTCAACGCCTTAACCGTTGTGCGGACCGACGCCCCATAAAGATTTTTATTTTTCAGTACTTAATGTACAATAAAGAAAAACATTAAGCCTACGCATTTTTAACCAGTCGAAATCGTTTTTCACCATTATTTTTTGTTTAAATTGAAATTGAACAAATGGGCTGGAAAAATCGATTGTTTAGCCCCATAAAATTCAAGAGTGAAATTCCTTGATCCCTAATAGAGAACGAATAGGAGGGTCAACAAATATATGGAAATTAACCTTGACAACGTCAACGAGCCTTGCGTAGTTGTTAATTCTTATTTATAATATACGTCGTTATCTTTGTGTAAGGTATTGGTCGAGATAAAAAAATGTCACGAGCGGGATTCGAACCTACGACCTTCGGCTAAATACGCCGCTGCTCTACCACTTGAGCTATCGTGACTTCTATCCACTCGGACACCAACTTCCCATCTCGACCCACGTATTTAGCCGAAGGTCGTGGGTTCGAATCCGGCTCGTGACATTTTTTTATCTCGACCAATACCTTACACAAAGATAACGACGTATATTATAAATAAGAATTAACAACTACGCACTGACTTTTTTATTATTTGGTTATTTGGTAAATCGGACCAAGAAATCTAATGGATTTAATACGTCGTTATGTTACAAAAAATGGATGTATTGTGAGTGCTGACGGAGAAATCCTTGGTAATTCAACGCCGCTCAGTTATATTAGGTGTACAGTTTGTGTATAAGGTGATTTAAGAATTTTGGTACTCCATCGCCCTAATCAAGTGTACTTTTATAAACAAATGATTTATTTAAGGTTCAAAACTGAATGATTTCGGGATGAAACGGCCTAGCAGTCGATAGCCCGAACCTCCCAACAAAGTTGGAGCAGGTGATTTGTATAGATTGTCTTCATAGTACTGGCTTTTGTGTCTTAGCAATTTCCTCTCCATTTTGAACCGTAGGAATTATCTATGTATCACTTAAACTCTATTTTGTCCGATGTCTATTAATGTTTTTCCAGGAAGCTTTTCCTTTCGTTAATAAAGTACAGAATTATTTTCGAGGATATATTATGTTGGTTTGTACTGCACAACAATTACATTCCTAAGTACCGCAGCCTTTTCTTAGCTATTGCATGGCATAGGACATAAGATATTGTTTGTTGTCCCGGTCTCCTCATGATATAATCCACTTTGTTCATCTTTTCACAGTTCAAATTTTTTAAGTACTACTTTACTGGCAACTTCAACGTAAAGGTCTTATTTCTACCCGATATAAGTCATCATGAGCGATCAATTTGATATCCAATGTACAAAAAATTGTAATTTATTTAACATTCTGGTATATTTTTTTGAAGAATTGCCAAATGAGGGTAGAAATCTTTAAGTTTTTTGATTGCATAGAGCCACATACTCAGGCTTTTTCGTGTGCCACGTGTCACCGAACAATGACAGGACACACCTCGCAATTACAAATCCATTACGTACACTCCCGTTCTTCGTACGCTCAGTTAAGACAATGGGCGTTGCAAGCTCGTTGACACTGCCTGGAAATGGACTAAACATAGATTGATGGAGGGCGGCTAGACCTGGACTATCTCGTTTTTTGACTATTTCTCCGTGGTCAATACAACGACCCTTTATCACAATCTCTGCCGTTGGGTGTGTCCATTATCCTCATCATTGGGGTGATTTATTGCTTTTAAATTTCTAAGAGATGAAAGTGTTGTGGATAATTACCTTCTAATATCCGACCATTAGTGTATGATGGGACAAAATCGAGAAAAATAAACAAACCCTAAACATAACTGAACGCACGTCAAATTCCGTTTAACAATAACAATAACCTAAACTAGTTGACCGAAATGAACTATTTCTCATTTATGACCGGTTGTAAACAACGGATCATTTAAGAAACAGAATGCAAATGCAGTTGTATAATATATAAGGACATAAAGTTAGCTTATCTGGATTACCATAAATACCTTCCATTGTCATTATAATACAAAGTGACGAAGAAGGAGAAACTAAGCTAGAAGTCACATAGTGACATTTGGTAAAACCATTCAGCTAAAGAATTGTCTACATTATTTTTGATTTGCTAAGGCAGAATAAACCAGGCATATAATGCAGTTGCATACTTGAACTCACCTCACTTCTGATTATTCTCTGACAAGCTCGATATCTCACTGAAAGTGGCAGGCACATCAATAAACTTTTTTTTGTCTTTGCTTTGATGCATACGGCCAGTGTCCCGTGTTGCCAGCGACACCACCCGCCCAGCCCGTGCGAGCCGAGCAAAGCCAACCCTGGGAGAGACCTAGAGCGCCCCCCTTTAGACACTCCGCCCTATCTTACGGGTGCGTTGGGAGGATATAGATAAAAACCACTTACATCACTTTACAGTGCTGTGGAAAAGTCCACATCCTGCCGGCAACCCGGGGCAAAAGGCACTCTGAGCACTCCACTCCTCCACCCGGGCAGGCCTCCCGGACACCGATTATTGTTTGAATAATGTCGATCTAAATATCTACTCAGCTATCTTGCAAGAACTCAAAAATGAGTCTATATATAACACCATTGCTTGATGCTAACAAGATTTCATAACAAAAAGGCTTAATCACTTCCCCTGCTGAAAAGATCCGTTTTAAAAGGTTCTCTCTTTCTGTCTCGTATTCAGGATAGAAAAAGACAATATGCTTAATATTTTCTGGCTCATCACATGTGGGGCAATTTGACGAAGGCCTAAGACCAATTCGATGCAAGTAATGCCGTGATTTGTACTTAAGTGTGTTGAGTCATAAAAAATTTTTTTGCTACCGTACTCTGTCGAAAACCATGGATCGATATTTATTTCCTGGAATAATGGCCGATAAAATGACCCTGCTGAACCACTGTTGTACCAAATGCTCCAGGCTTTTACCCATTTATTCAGGGAACGCTTGGAGTCAGACTTTGGCAATTTGATGTCAATAAACTCCCCGTCCTTTGTTGCTTGTTTGGCAAACAAGTCCACGATTTCGTTACTCTTTATACCACAATTCCACCTACTCCAGCAAAAAACTACATTTTTATTTTGCGATTTGAAGTGAAGCCTTGTTTATTACGTCTGTTATGAAATAATCGTTTGGACTTTGGGTAGAAGTTTTTTATTTGAGCAAGGACACTTTTGCAGTCTGTTATAATGCAAAATTTGGTGTCATCTAGCGTCGTCAGATAATCAAGGGCTCTTACCAAGGCAAATAACTCAGCATTTATACGTTAACTTGATTATCCATGTACAAGTCCTGATGGAGTTCATTGTTTCAGAACACTATATTCCGTAATAATTTATTCAGGTAACGTTGAATGCAAATTAATCTGACTACTGTAACAGATGGTTTATGCATTTACTTATAAAGCATACACTTGATATGTAAAGACAGTGACTTTTCGTCTGTTTGCTTTCCTATCGTGAAGGTTAATACCGAAGTATTTTACTATACATATTTGCAAATAGAATTATTTTATCGTTTTATTTATAGGCAGCTCCAATGTAAACAATCGTTGATAAAATTACTGATTTTATTTACTGATTATAGAATCTTTGTGATAGTTCTTCGTGATTCTTACACCTGGAATCGGCATATATAACTGTTATTTTCAAGATTATGAATATCAGATGTGTAAAAGAAGTATAGGATAGGTCCTAGTGCTCATCCTTGTGACACTCCTACTACGACGTTCTTTAATTCAGAGGTCCCATATGATTGATTCTAAAATGTTTATGAAGTTGTTTGAAATTTGTAAAGACCAAATATAAAAAAAAAATCCCATTTCACCAATTTAAATAAACAAAATTGTCAGAGGCGCATTCCAATCGCTCCCATGGTCCATCGGGTTCCCTATCGATAGGGCGTTGCAAGAAAATAAAAACAAAAAGGCATTCCGAGTTGGGACTTGGGAGCTCCATGAAAGTACTTGCTACCATCCGGTGAGTCAATTCCCTTTTTTTTCTGTGAAAAGAAAATCATTTCCCTTTCCA